ACACCGTATTACATAGGACAGGAGTAACGGGGTCGCTGTAAAACTTATAGTAAAAAAGCGTAAGAAATTCTTACGGAAATCAGCTTGTGGCAGTGGTAGAATTGAGCCAGAGCGAGAGCGCCATCTTTCGTGGAGTTTGAGTCGTATTTACTAGTATTACGAAAACCAAGAAATATATACGATGCCTCTTGCTAAATCTTTATACGTCATTTCTTTCAGGGGAAATCACGCACGCACGGAAAATCGCAGATTGGCGAAATGAAATTTCTTTTCATCAGTTGTAGAAACTTGAGATGAGCGATCGACCAGATCCATTCCATTTGACATGATCATGGATCCCTACGGCACTCCTAAACTATACGAAAAACAGGAAGTACTCCCACACCATCAGCAGAAGTCTGTCTGTGGGACACGACCGAAATACAGGGATGGACGTGTCCCAAAAGCCGTCAAAGTTTATACCGTCGTGCAAGAGTCAAAGTACTTAATGATTCAAGGTACCATTAAATTTTGCAAGCTTATGTCACGGTCACCAATAAGCTACCCTGTAATCTAGCCGCACTGCAGACAATTTACCATTTACGCAGTGAAAGTCGGTGGTGTATGTTGCATATTACTTAGTAGACGTATTTCTTGTGATGTCGATCATGTATTTCTAAAATCGCATGTGTTATGCAGGAGTAGATGCTCAAAAATTATCAGTACAGTAGTCTATCATATATCTGCGTGCGTAACCGCAAAAAGGTGTTTTGTCGATTTCTACTAAGGCGTGGGTTGATTCCGACTGTAATATGCGATCGACAACACTTTCGTCAGATTTTTCGCAGAAATTATCGCTATGCAAAAAAATGTAGCTGCACTATTTGCTATTTTATATACCACAACAGTATAAATTCATTGTAATTTTTACACTGAAGTAATCAGTAACATGTTTGCTATTAGGTAAGGCTATATTTCGTTAAATTGTTCTCGATCGTGCAATCATTTATGAAATAATTCCTTTATGCTGGAGTAATCAGTAACATGTTCGCTATTAGGTGAGGCCATATTTCGTTATATTGTTCTCGATCGTGCAATTATTTATGAAATAATTCCTTTACACTGTAGTAATCCTTTAACTCTCCCCCGCGCGTCCTTACAGGCGTGCCGGCTGTCGGTGCGGCGCGGGAACTCCTGGAACTGTTCTCGCTGCACGGCGCCATCGACGAGTATCGCACGCTGGACGAGTACCCGTGCGAGGAAGACTCGTTCACAGACGTCTACCTGCTGCGCTACCAACGCATCGACGGCGCGAGGCGGGCGAAGAGGAAGCTGGATGCGTTCTCCTTCTACGGCGGCGTGCTGCACGTCTGCTACGCTCCGGAGCACGAGACCGTCGCCGAGACGCGGGAGAAGCTCGGGGATCGGCGGAGGGCGGTCGCGGCGAGGTGCCGGGAACACGAGGCCGAGCGGGAGAAGGGGAAGAAGGCGGCGGCTGTGGCAGCGTACCGCACCCCCGACGCGGCGGCGGCGGCGGCGGCGGAGGACGCTGCGAGCGTCGGACGCACGCTAGCACAGACGTCTCATGGTGATGCATGGGTGCATGATGTGAGCCATCACCCACCACCGCCTCTCCCTCCTCCTCCTTCTCACCATCACCCACCTCCTCCTTTTCCACCTCCTCCTCACCATCACCCTCCTCCTCCTCCTCCTTACCATCACCCACCACCTCCTCTTCCACCTCCTCCTCACCATCACCCACCACCTCCCCATTTTCCTCCTCCTCCTCTTCAGATGTTTCTCAGTAACGGACAACACCCGCCGTTGCGCGAGCGTGCGGCGACCTCCACGGGAGATGTGCGACCGGCGGCACCCCCTGCTGGTACGTCTCGCCGATTTCCGGACGCCGGCGACTCGACATTTTCTCGCGTTACGAACCTCGAGGCATCGTCTCGCGTCGAAGCGAGTCGTCATCGTCGCGACGACGGCGACGAAATTCGTCTCGATGATCCGCGCGCACGCGACGGACGGACGGAAAACGGCGCGACTCGTGATCGTGCGAATGCGGGCGAGATTCGCGATTGTGCGAGCGCGGGCACGATCGTTGCCGGCAAGCTCGTTCGCAAGTTGAAAGCGGAGGAGAGGACGACGCCGAGACTCGTTCCCCGGCAGCTGTCGTCCGTCGCCAGGTTACAGCCGATCGACCGCGGCAGACGATCGAAACCTTGTCCTGCGGCGCCATCTAGTGCAGCTTCCGGTAATGACACTGCCGGCGCGTCTTCCGCGAAACCGAAGGTTGTTACTGTGATCGAGACGCCTGTGTTTCTG